TTTTAAATAAGCATTTACGTCTACTGTGGTGAACTGCTATGTTGTTGACTACAGAGTGTTATATAATAATAACTTGTACTTCATGATCTAAATGCTTTCATAAGCCACATTTGATTCTTGTAACCTTAGTTTTTACATAGTACTTTATAAAGTTTTTTATATTCTTGATTCACGGAAGAATACAAGTTAATTTGATGTTCTTCCCCCAAAGCCATTTCAATTCTTGTTAGGATTTTATGTTTCCAAGACCTTTCTTTTGTTATTTTTCACCCCTTTCCCTTCTTGATGTATTTAAGACATTCCTGGAAAGTAGGTTTTTGTTTTTGTTATGAAGATTTCTATTACTAGGCAGTCATTTAGAATTTGGGGATTATTTCATGTTTCCACAGTTTAGTGTCTATTTTCACATTAAAGATTCAATTCAGGCCTTTCTGATATTAAAACCATTATGTAGCTACTATCATAATCTTCATTTGCACACATTAAAATTTATAATTGTTGTGCACCAAGAGCACTAGATAACTATTTTTCAACTTACTTTTCATGTCGAGGCTAAATCACTAAAATAGAGAAAAATGACCAAAACCAACTTTTTACATTGCTTTCAGTATTTCATACAGACAAGTATGTTGCCTTTTAAATTAAGAAAATCATGGACTAGAGATGGACTAGAGATGAATAGTTCATTGTTAAAGCATTTACCTTGCATGCCTGAGGCCCAAGGTTTAATGTCTAGCATTGTAAAAAAAAAAAAATTACTAATAAATTAAGAAAACTTTATTTTGTATTTCTCAAGTAAGTATAACTAAATCAATATTATATCAATATAATTAGAAACTATATAAAAACTTCCAACCACAGGCCAGATAAGCCATCACTTGGTATTGCATATTTCTAAGATATCAGTTTCTTTTAATCATTGCATTCTTAATATGTTTATAATATATCAATATGTACAGTAATGTGTTTGGCACTTTTGAAATTCAATTTTGCTATCAAATTATGCAAGTTTTCAGCCTCAGAAGTCTACCTAGGTACTACTTTTTTTTTTGGTAATTCAGTTTTTCTCTTCCTGGATTTGAGTTTAGATGATATTAAGATAAATTGTGAACATATGCCCTGAGGATGATGTTGCAAAAAGTAGCTAAAAGAAAAAAAGCAGCATGGTGTAGTAAAAAGTGTACTGGGCTAAGTATTTAGGACATTTAGATTCTTGTACTGATTTTGCCATAATACATTTCTATAACTTTGAACAAGTCAGCCTGTGATTCCTCTTGTAAAATGAGGGATTGAACAAGATCACTTGAGGTCTCTTCCAGTTCTACAATGAAAACACATTAATTTTTACCAATATTTATGCCCTATTTCCACAGTAGTAAGCTTACAAGTTCTTTAAAGACGGTGATCTTGATCTCCCATGGAATTCAGTTAGTCTCCAGCTGATTTTGGGTAGACAGGGCAAGTGATATCCCCATTGTATAGCTATTAAGTGGTCATAGAGTTTGACTTGCTGGAATCTACATGTCTAAGTAAATAATAGAGCTGGGGATTTGAGATTTCTTGCTCATGAGTCATTTGCTCTTTTCACTGGATTTACAGTGGCACTTTAGTACTCAATAATGAAACCGTATTTTGGGCTGTGGATACAGAATACTGATATCCTTTATAGTTTTGGTCCTGAACATTTAACAAAGATTCTCCTCTGTACTGCCAGGGTTCTGTGAAAGATGAATAAAAGAACCCCAGAAGTCTCTCCCTAAAAGTATCTGACTTACAAGACTTGAATAACCAAATCAGCACATTATGTTTTCAGATCTTAAAATCACTTATGATTTTAAAATGATTATACTGTAAAATGAGCACATAAGCCATCATTTGAAAGTTAATCACAAAGGCTCCATTGAGTGGGGACAAGTTTTAAACTGTTTTAAATGAAGTAATTTGTCATGGGCTAAGATGAATTGTGTTTGCATTTGCTCCTGTGCCTAGAGTGCTCTTCCCCCCAAACTTCATGACTAACTCACCTACTGGTAAAGAAAGTAGTAAAGTCCCACCTCAGATGTCCCTGCCCTCGAGAGACTTCCCCCATCCAACCTATGTCTTTGGCGTTTCTGTTATCCTTTATGGCACTTACTAGAAACTGAGATTGAATATTCTCCTCAGCAAAATGTGAGATGTCTTATTCACATTTGTAACCCCAATATCTAGCACCTAGAAAGTTCTTGATAAGTGTTTGTTAAATGAGTAAATGAAATTGTCACAATATAATTATGAGAATGAAATGCCTGTCTGCTTCTCTTTTATTGCATTTGATAAATCAAGGGTTAAAATTAATATACACTTAAAAAATGAGGGACAAGAAGATAAAACAGGTCCTGTCTGGGTGTCAGTGGGAGGGAAGAGAGTAAATGAGAGGGTGAAGGAAGATGTGAATATAGTCATTGTATTTTGTTTACTTGTGTGAAAACAGAACAGTGAAACCTGTTGAAATTGTTTTAAGAAGGGGAGAGGAAGGATGAGGGAAAATGATGTAGGGGATAAATCTAATCAAGGTACATTGTAAGCACATATGTAAATGTCACAGTGAAACCACCTCTCCCGTGTAACTAATATATGCTAATAAAAATTTTTTTTAAATAATAAAATACAACCAAGATGAAAATAAGCAAGGTTAAGATATATTATATGATTTGGATAGGGCAACATTTACATTAGAAATGAGATCTGGATCTTAATCCAATGTTGGTTCCATTACACTCCATTGTACCTAGCAAATATTTTTGTATAGCAGAAGTAAAAAGTGATGCAAAGAGCCAGGTGCTGTGAGTAAGCCAAGTATTGGTGGACATTTATTGAAGTAGAATTCTGTTTACAGTAGTTGCTCTGTAAAAGAGAAACCCAGAATGTCCACCATAGCTATAGCATATGAGTAAGAATATTGGATACAAATAATAAGTGAAACACTAAGCTTTGTGAAAGAGACAAAGATTTTGTTTTAAAAGCTAAACTAAACTAGGAACGGGAAATGTAAGAAGAACTTTAGTAGTGATGCTTATTTTGTAAGGTTATAAATATATGGTGATATTACAGAAAACTTAAAGTTATAGTGGTCTGAATAAATGGAGTCTATAGATCTCTTAGTCACTAATTAGTTATGGATATCCAAAATAATCAAGCTCTTCCATACAAAACTTAGTGATCACTGGCATCAGTAGAAATCTGCATGGTTATTGTAATAAAACGGTAGCTACAGAGATCATTTTTGTATTGTGCATGTATAGCTTAACAAATTACCTCAGCATATTATTTGAAGGAAAGGCTTAAAATGGGCCAGATATTATGGCAGGGTTTAAAAGACTACAGAAGAAAGAATAATCAAGGCTTTACTTTAATGTTACCAAGTTGGTCTTGTCAGCAGATAGCAGTTCCTCTCTGCCACAGTTTATTAATAGATATTGAAGCTCTGAAATAGTTGGAGGCCCCAACTCCTAATAAATGTAGTACCTATGCTTGTCCTGTCATGTTCCAGATTTCTAGCCAGAGCCATGCAGCATACCCAGAGGACCATTCACATAGTCCATAGAACAGAGCCAAACCAAACTGACAGCCATAGTCACTGAACTAAAAATAATATGAATTGAAGACAATTGAGATGAATTCTTTCAAAGTCAATTACGACCACACAGGCATACATCCTTTTCCATTTAGTTTAGGTGTTTGGTTGTTAGTTTTTTAGCCTTACTCACTTAAAGGAATTAGCTCTTAAAGGAATTGCTTTCTTTAGCAAAACACAAAACACAATCTCATTTTGGTTAATTTTTTTTGTGTGCCTTTCAATAATAATTGCATGATGACATTCTACACACCGTCGCTCATATCTGTTTTTATTAAGAAATTAAATTTAGGTCTACTTTATGAGACTAAAGTTGGAGACCCAAAACCAAGAGAACTAAACCTTAGGGAAAAAAATGTGTATCATAGGAGAATTTATCCAACACATTTTAATTTACAAAAGAATAAATTTTGAAAGAAAATTTCTAAATTGACTTCTTTTAATACCAAAGTCGTCTTTGCATTCCTCTGTTCTTATTTTTCAGGTAAGGAATTATGAAGACTATCTGAAATATTTATTTATAGATTAACCATTTTGAATCAGTGTGTATGGTCATGGAGATACTTGTAATTTTAATATATTCTCTTTTTTAAACTCTTTAAAAATTTGATCTTAGGGGAAAATAGTCATTCAAAATAATTGCTAATTGTAATATATCATAGGAACTATGTTATAATATTCAAATAAATACAGTTACAAAAAAACATGTTTGATTTGTGAGTTTAAATTAGCAATTCGGTAGCAAATAAAATGTCTTTTTAACAAAGTATTTTGTAATTTGAATATTAGGTTTTTCATTATCTACTTAAGTTACCAAGATGTCTCAAGAGTGACTATCCTTGCCGCTCTTTTCTTCTAATCAACTATATGTCAAGAAAAACATTGGGTTGCTGTCTGTAGTTTGTAATATTGACTGATTCCTTCCCTAACAATGGACATAATTGCCTTGTATTAGTCTTGTGTTAGTCTACTTTTTTTTTTTTTCATTACCAGAGTTTGAACTCAAGACCTCCCATTTGCTAGGCAGGGTCTATAACATTTGAGCCACTCTGCCAGCCCTTTTGTGTTGGGTATTTTTGAGATAGGGTCTTGCAAGCTATTTGCCTGGGCTGGCTTCAAACTGCAGTCCTACTGATCTCTGCCTCCTGAGTAGCTAGGATTACAGACATAAGCCACTGGTACCTGGGCATATTTTTTTTTTATTATTATTATTTCCAGGTACTAGAGCAAAACACTTTTTGTTTTATATACTCAGTTTTGGATGTGTGTGTATATATATATATATAAATGTATACATTATAAAACATGCAAAAATAGACAATAAGAGATACAATAATAATTAGCCAAACTGAGGTTACAGTTCCATAATATCGTCTGATTATGACTCAAGTCACAATAAATATTTTCTGAATAAAACCATTCCAGAATGTAAAGATTGACATAATTAAAATGAGGTAATTGCTTAATAAAGTGAACTTTGATATACTGACAGTAAGGGACAGATAATGGCGATAATGGAATATCTAACAGGTTTGGACTTGAGGTACCTATAGAACCTCCAGATTCCAAAGGTAACTTAGAATATATATTGTGCTTTGGCAAAATACTTGGATGAGAAGATTTGGGAGTATAAAGCCATGAGATTAGAGAGCAAATTGAGGGGGGAAAAAAGGCCAAAGATGGAACCCTAGAAAGTATGAAGATCTAAGATTAGGAAAAAGAGTTAGTGAAGGAGATTAAAATGGAACTGTTTTTTCTTAATTGGTCTTCTGTTAATTAACACTGGTTGTTTCTAGTTTTTGTTACTAACATGCACATTTTTTTCCTATCTATCTGGTTATTAGAATTCATTGGAGAAGTAGAATTGCTGGATCACCATGAGCAGGCATGTTCAAGTGTATGTTGATACATACTACTGTCTTCTGGGGACTCATCTGGGCTAGAGTATCCAAGATGGCTCTGTCATGTCTGCCAAAGTGGAAGTGATGTCTGCTAGGGCCTCACTTGGGCTCTAAACCAAAACCTCAGTTGTCCTATATGTGACCTTTCCATATTAACTGGGCTTTTTAGAGCATGGTGGCTGGGTTTCAAAAATAAGGAAATGGAAGCTGATAGGCCTGTTTGTTGAGTCCTAAATTCCCAATACACTGCTGATTAATACAATCTTTGGACAGACTTGATTCAATGGCATAAGATACAAATTTCTCTTCTCAATTCAGGGGAGTGACAAAGACAGAGAAAAGAGATGATGGCATCCATCTTAGGAGAATATCTACCATAAGCCCTTTATATACAAGCGTCTGCTAAGCCCAGATCACTCTTACTTCCTAAAGGAGATTGGGCCTTTTAAAAACTCCTTTTGAAACAGTTAAAAATCTGTTTTGAAGGGCTGGAGGTGTGACTCAACGTAGGCCTGGAATTCAAATCCCAGTATAACCAAAAAGGAAAAAAAAATCTGTTTTGAATATGACCTTTTGAAAAGTTGGTTGCTGCTAGTTGTAGCATACTTTCTACTTCTAAATAACTTCTTCTGATGCTTCCTGTGTATGGGACACAGGACCAAAGTGCTATATTTATCAGTAGGGGACATATCTGAAACCTGACTGATTTACTGGATATATCAAGTAGATAAATAATTTCAGTTCTTACAGCCTTGGTTCTCTCCTCTCTACCATGGAAGTAAAAATAATAATGATAATATATTGGCACGGTTTTTTGTTTTTTAATTTTGTGGTATTGGGAGTTGATCTCAGGGCCTCACACTTGCTAGGCAGGAGCTCTACTGCTTGAGCCATACCTCCTTGACAGGATTATGATGATACTTGAAATTTTAAGTAAGTGCTTTATAAATGGCAATATAACCATCTTTATCTATGAGGGATCGGTTCCAGGACTTCTGGCAGCTACCAAAATCCCATATATAAAATGGTGTAACATTTGCATTATAACATACACATTCTCCTGTATACTTTAAATCACCACTACATTTTTGTAAGACTTACTTCAATGGAAATGCCATATAAGTACTTGTTACACTATATTGTTAGGGAATAGTAACAAGAAAATACCTGTATGTGTTCAGTACAGATAAATTTTTTCAAATTATTTTCAATCCACAGTTGCTTAACTCTGTGGATGGAGAACTCTAGGATACAGAGGTTGTTGAATATTATTAGAATAACAAACTGCACTTCATTAAAATGTTATTTCTTGAAGAAGGGGTGAAGAGTATACTGACATGCCCAGGAAAAATTTTTGTTGTTCTGTACAGTACCTTCTGCCACCTCTAATTTCTAACCATATTTGCTCCCTTAGAGAGCTATCAGCATGGGATAAGAGAAGACAGCATGAAACAACTTCCCCTTTGTATATCACCTAATTATTCTACCTCATCCATTAGTGACTGTGTGCTTACAACTTTTTTTAAATCATGTAACTCCCTGTCTGTATTTCCTGTTTGTTTTTCAAGGTTGTTCAGAAAAGTAACAACTTTTTGTAACTGATTGCAATTTACTTGTAAGTCCTCCCTCTTCAATTCAGTAGAGAAAAGCATTTACTCTTACTACATCAAGGATAACTTGGTGAATATAAGATTTATCACAGGTAATTTTTTATTCAGGAAAATTCAAAATTTATTCAGTTATTTCAAAGTTCTGTTTTCCTTCATCAAGATTTTTCTTTTCCTTTTCTCCTGACTGACATGATGCCTAGGTGCTCTGGAAAACTTCTGTAAATAATATCAACAGCAAGGGGAGGGTAGATTCTCTGGGCTGTGTGGTGACTTCCACTGAGGTATTTTATGTCTTTAGCGTTGTGGCCTAATGCAGTGGTGTCAGACATCAGAGTCATCTGGAGAAACTTGATAAAACACAGATTCCTGGACCCTACCTTAAAACTTAGTAATTCTTGGTTGGAGTCTGAGAATTCACATATTTTACAAATTCCAGGTGATACTGATGCTTCTGAATCAGAGACCACACTTTGAGAGCCACTGGGTTAATGCTTTCACTGTTCTTATATCTGTTTTCTTCATGAAACATTTTTTTTTCTTTTGCCTTTATAACACTCTTCTGCTTTGCCTGCTCCCTTATGCACTGTTTCTTCTTAGTATTTGCTGGTCCTTTCTTCTCTGTTTTGTTTTAAAAGTTGAAATGTTAATGAAATGTTTAAATGTTGAAATCTCCAAATGTTGAAATTCTCCAAAATGTTTAAATTCTCCACTATCTAAGTATTATTTTCTGCTGACTTCATCCAATCAGTTAACTAGAAATAACATCCATATGCTGTTGACTCCCACATTTCTATCTTTCCCTCTGACTTCTCCATGGATCCCCTGACGCATGTTTCTACCTTCATATAGCTATCTGATAGGCATCTTAAACTTTATATGACTGATACTAAACTCTTGAGTTATTTTTTAAATTCTCCATGTTTCATTGTTAACATCCAGGAAGTGGAGAAAGTGTATTCCATGTGCATCAAAATCATTGTATTGTTTACTTCGTTATTTCTCATGTACTGTACAGTAGCTGGATGTAGAAGACTACTATTGGTTTAAGGAGTGAAGAAATGAAATTCATTCTCTTAGTATAAAGCTTCACCCCTTGAAGATAGGAACTCTTATCCATTTCTCCCTGCTTGCTGACTAGGCCTTCTTCCCCTTGACTTTCATTGATCCCTAGAAATTCAGCTGTGCTCTGCAATAAGGCCTCTACATTTGAACATCATATTGCAGCCTCTGATATAGGTCCCAATACTCTGCCCTACAATGGCCTCTTTCATTTACCTTGCTTTTCTCTTGGCAATAGATTTTTCTGTATCACTTTCATGTTTTGCTGTGGCAAAGGGAGCCTGGGGTAGATCCTCCCTCTGGTATAGCGCATCCTTCGGTTGATCTGCCTTGCCTACACCACTCTTCCTCTTCTGTATCTTCTCACGTTTACAAAGCACATTCTGCTAGGCTTCCTGCTGCTGGTGATCTGAGGATGGGATGGTGGTATTAAGTCCTTCCTGACAGTGAATCTCTAAACCAATCTGGAAGAGGGAGAGTGGTGAGGTTTTTAGCTTCCATCATGCATTGCTATCTTTGGCATTATTCAGCTGTCAGGTGTTTGGTTTTTTTCTTTTTTCTAAATAATTACTACTATTGCTTAGTTTTGAATGAATTCTGTACTTTGCTTTCATCCCACTAAGGTAAAGGTCAATTTTATATATATTCATTTTACCCTTATTAATTACTCAGTATTAATGCCATTTGAAAAAAATGAGGTCATATTGATATGCCAAAATTTAATTTCTTAAGCATTGGCTCCATGCTTAAAGAATATATTTTGTATATTTCAGTTCATATGTACAGCTTTAAACATCTTGCCTTCATTATCATTTTAGATTTCACTGTATGTAAAGTATCTTATGGCTCTAATGAGAATAGAAGCTTCTTGAACTCAGGGGCTTTCTTCTCACAAATATACCTATTTTTATTTAAGAGTGCTCTGGAAAATTGCTTTCTCAAAGCAAAAGGGAAATTTTTATCATGTCCTCATTTGCCCACATTTTGTTCCCGTAGTTTTAAGTTGAAAGCTTGGAGTCAGTCATCATCTCATCACTAGGTGGCACTTGTGGATCACAAATAGTCACATGTACCCACCACAATTTTTGTGACAAGTACATGATCCACAAAATATAGATAGTGTTTAGAATTCCTGTGTGGATATTCTTCAGAACAAAAATGTAACAAGGAGAATCCTAAGTATCAGTTGCTCTGATGTATTTGTAGATACATGGTTGAAGAATATATTAAATTACCTCATAATCATTAGTCATAGTTAAATAGTGATATCAACAGGTAAGCTGGTCTCTATGCATATCTCCTTAGCCTAAAGTTTAGGACCTGTTTTTTACAAATTTACTATGAGACAGATGAGTACTACAACTCCTTATTCCTATTCACATTCAGTTCTGAGCACTTACTGTTCTTTTGTAGTATGTACAGAAATGCCTGGTTTTAACTTAAGAATCTTGTGAATGTTCACTGAGGAAAATGCTCCTGTTTTACTGGTAAGAAAACAGAAGCTCCAAGACATTGGATCTAATGATCTAATGAGGAGTTGGAGGAGGCTCAAGTGGTAGAGTGCCTGCCTAGCAAGTGCAAAGGCCTGAGTTCAAACCCCAGTCCTGCCCAAAAAAAGTGATCAAGAAAGCTAATAAGTAGACAGAAGACATTCATATGCAAGTCTGTTGAGTTCCAGAACCAGTGTGTGGTTTTTCTGTTATTCTAATGGTGATAGGTTAGCAATTACCTACTCACATTAAAGTAACTGAATGGCAAGTGCAAGTGACTGACATTGGTTCCTTGCTTTTTTCTTGTTGTTTTTTTATTCAGTATTGCGATTAAACTTAAGGCCTCATGCTTGCTAGGCAAGTACTCTACCACTTGAACCATGCCCCAAGTCCTGTTTTGCTTTTAGTTTCTTTTTCAGATAGGGTCCCTTGATAACTTTGCCCAGGGTAGCCTCCTACTTCTAACTCCAGACCATGCTCAGATTCCTTTTAAGATAGGGTCTTCTCTGCCTCCTGGGGAGTTGAAATCACAAAAAATTACCCTGTGCTCTGCAGGTTCCTTGATCAGAGATGTAGAGAACAAGAGCCTAAACAGGAGGACCCTGAGTGCCCAGGAATAGGAAGCATAAAATAGAAGTTACCACAAGACCAGAGATCCTGATACCATGGTGGGGAGGGAAGAGGTTCCTGAGCACCTCTGTGTTGTTTGTGTCCCAGGTTCTTGGCAAATTGAACAAGGATTTGGACAAAACACATAGAACTAGCAAGCAAACTGTAGATTTATTGAAAATGGAATACACGACAGATAGGAGTGAGCCCAAGCAAAGAAGCTAAAGA